CACTCAAAATTCTACGTATGCTTCTTATTAATCTTTCCCATATTCCTCCACGATGACTTGCGTAAGGTGTGTTGTAGTGCCATTCTATGTTCGGACGAATCATTTCTTTAACTACTCTATTATCCTTAAAGTCTGGTAATAAAAGTTTTATTTCCTTCTCTAACCCAACGAATGTAGATCCTCTATCACTGTATATTTTCTTCGGCAGCCCCCTGCGATTTGAGAAACGAGACAACGCCATCAGAAAGGAATCAGTTGGTAATGCGCAGGCAACTTCTATGTGAACTGCTCTAGTGTTGAAACACGTAAATAGGCAACCATAACACTTTCGAGATTTACGTCCCTCTTTAATCATGATCGGGCCGAAATAATCTACTCCCGTTGTTGCGAACGGAAAATCGGGTGTTATCCGTGTAGATGGTAAATCTCCCATCAGTTGTGACATCGGCTTGGCTGATCTAATGCGACAGCCTATACATCTGTGTATGACTCTCTTGATGGCCGTAGTACCCTTTAGGACCCAATACCTTTTACGCAATCCAGCTAGCGTGTGGTACACACCCATGTGTCCTTCAACTTGATGGTAATACCGAATGATGAGTTCCGTTATAGGGTGTTTACTGGGTAGAATAATCGGATGTTTCTGCTCCATCGGAAGGTCACTACTGCTCAAACGTCCTCCTACCCGAATCAGGTTGTCAATTATGATATATATATCGTCAGCAAACCTAAAAAACGTAGTCCTCAAACGGGTCAACAAAGACGCACAGTGAAGCAAAGAAGAAGGACCTCGACAACACCGGTATTGACGGAGCATTCATCGACACTAGTGGTAACATGCTGAAGCTCAACACCATAATGACATCGACTGTACTAGATTCCTTTAGCAACCTTGCGTCTCCCAGCACAGGATCCCTGAATGCAACGGTGGTCCCCGAAACAGTGTCAACGATTAAACCCCCGTCAACAAAGTTAAGAAAGACCAGGTATCACCGAACATCGCAGGTGTCGTGGTGAAATGAACTGGTGATTTGGCCGTATAGTCTACCATAAGACTGTCCAACCGGTCAGCAAAGAGAGCAGAAATCCAAAACGCTCTTCAACCCCTAGACTACAAGGTCTTCAACCTAAACACATCCGAAAACCTGGAAAAAAATAACGGTGCGCGATGATTCTCTTATAATTTTCAACCATAAAGACAGTTCTGACCTTCCCCTTAGTTTGCAGGACAAAAGTGACAGGAATACTTAAGTGAGAATCTTGGACTTCTCGAAATAGAGCCTTTGATGGTCACACGGCTCCCTCAGAGAAAGAGCTCCAAGCATCAAAATCATTCAAGATTACTTTATGTAAGGCATATTGACGCCGCCGGCGTAGAGGATGCATTACCAGCTAGTCATTGACTGAAATCAGATGAGAATGCAAGATTACTGCCTGATATACGTATTCTAAACATGATCCCACCAGAAACATTCTTAAGGAATCCTGCGAGAACTTGTTCCGCAGAAGAAATATCGTTGTGCAAGGTGTACTGGAAAACACGGACCACACAAACTGTGATATTCGGGAATTGGATTTCGATAAGTAGTACTTGAAGCTCAATAAAATGTTGACTCAACAACTGGTGAAACTAGCTAAGAGGGATGGGGGATTTTGGACCCTGGCTGATAAAGATTACCATCCGATCCTCGCATATGGCGGCTGCAAATGTCGAGACCTTTCGTGCCAACAGACTTTGGTTGCAACTGAAATCCATATGCATCCGGATAGGCCACACGATGCCAGGATCAAGCACGAAAGCAAACTGGGGCTGAATATTCCACTTGTGAACTGTCAAGACTATGAGAAAAACGTAGAAATGACAGGGGTTACTAACTAAAAAAAACAGTGTAGGTAGGTTATCTGTTGATTCACACAAGACTCATACAGATAAATAGGGCAGAGAAGTTTGCTCGTCTCAAATTGAAAGTATAAACTGCTTGTGCATGAATGCCGCGAGTTAAGCGAATAAAATGGAGTTGCGTGAACTCAGTAATACCCATAACATTTACCTGATAGAAATATCAGAAACATGGATGTCAGTTTTTCGGACCAAGAGCTAACAATACTAGAAATGTCTTTGCTTCACAGCGATGGGAAAACAGGAATAGAGCAACCTTGTACCTGCGATCTTCCTTGGAAGAACATAAATTGCACAACCAATCAATTTTGATGAATCCGTGTGGCGCTCAGTAAGATTGTCTACTACCTCGAGGTGTCTACTTAGAGGCATATACAGGAAGCCCATTGCTGACATCGAGTATGACAGTTGCGTGCTGGAATGATTATTCCGCTCTCCTCGTCTCGGTTCACTCACATCCTGATTCTAGAGGACTTCAATCTTCCTAAATTAAATTTCGCGGAACACGTGTATATCGAAGGTAAAAGCTCTACTGAAGCTCGGTTCGTCAACCTGATTGAAGATCTGGCATTATTCGAAAACTTCAAGTCGATAACTCGTCGGAGGGCTCGTCGATAACTCGTTGCTTACACAAACGGAGAATTCCTAATTAAAAACCTCTGAGTCCTCCCTCCCCTGAGGGAAAGTGATCATGCTGTCATGAGCTTCATTTTTATCAGTGAAACTGAGCTAAGACATCCTATTGACAACAGGTGTTGGAATTACAAACAGTTGGATGTGCCAGTTTTGTAGGACAATCTGCAGCAGGTGGACAGGGGTTTCAGCCTCAACTGGATGTGGATGCTTATAGGGATTTATTACTTCACTTGACTTTATGTGCTGCAAGGCAGTCTGTTCCGCTACCGGTCCCCAAAATCTACATGCAACCTATAGCCATCAATAACCACACCCTTTGTTTGCTAAGCCAAAAAAGGCATTGCTGGATGGAATACAAACGAAGTGGTAACAACGGCGCATATAGTCAATTCAAACAAGTGAGGATCATATGCACAACAGCAATAAGAGAAGACAGGCTTCAGCATCAGATAGGACTTATCGATAAATTAATTTCCGATTCCAAAAGCTTATTCCGCCATTCAGCCTCTTTTCGACAAGCCAAAACTGGAGTTTTCCGATGATTAGGTCATAATGGCCCGACCGAAAACGACAGTGATGCGGTTGACCTTCTGGCAGAACAGTACTTTCGGACATACCGACCGACCCACACACAAACAAAAGCTTCATCGACAACTACACAGGAAGTGAACCTGAGCGCTGACGTGAGGCATATTATCAGAAAACTGAAAACTGGCTCACATCACACCAATATTAAAAGGAGGTTGACGTAGCGAACCTTCAATCTACCGACCGTTAGCACTTTTCTCTATACACTCAAAAATTATGGAGTCCCCCATATGCAAAGGTCTACACGACTACTAACTACCCATAAACAACTTTTCAGCACTACAGCATAGTCTCAGAAAAGGTGACTCTTGTATATGCGACCTGCTGACTGTGGTGAACAGATGGACAACAATCCTTGGTCGCAAGGCAAAGGTTGATGTCATATACATTGGCTCCTCAAGAGCTTTTGATTGGGTCAACCATACATTTTGTATCGGTATGCCCAAATGATTAGGTATCAAACCACCTTCGATCGACATTTTAATATCAGGGTTAAGTTCAATTTATCTCTGGCTATGGAATGTCCTGGTGAGATCCCTCGTGTTTCTGTACTAGGACTTCTTTATTTGATTGATACAAAGGTCTTCCACAACAAGTATCGTCGGATTTTTTACTTTTCGCTGACGAGGTAAAACTCCGGAGAGAAGTTTGCAACAAAGAGGATCTGACTGGTCTTCAAAGTTGGGCAGATAACAACAGATCTAACTCTGACATCTCAAAGTGCAGAGTAGTCCGCTTGAGACATGTTGCAGACCACAACTACAACTTAGGTAACTCCCAAGTTGAAAAAGCTCCAGGAGTGTTGGTAACCTACGATAACCGTGACAAAAATGCCTTTCGAGCAAACCTTGCACTGGTAACATTGAAGCGCATTTTCGGTCAGTTCAACGGAAGAACTTTTCATATTGTTTTCAACAGTTTTATTCATCTCTATTTAGAGTACCGAAACAGTATTTCCTCCCTCACTCCAAAACGATAAGGACACTTTAGAATGTATCAAATGACGAGACACAAAATCAGTTCGGGGACTCAAATTCAGGTCTTATGAAGTGCGCTCTCAATCACGAAACCTTCACTGATCAGAGTTAGGCGTCTTAGAGGTGACCTTATGATGGTTTACAGCACTCTAAGTACTTCTGAACATTCCCTTAAGCACCTACCCAAGTTTAGTCCCAACACAAACCTAAAGGAAAACATCAGAAAATTGGAGATAAAGCACAGCTGAACGGACTGTAAACATACCTTCTACCCCCTAAAAGCAGTCAAATGCAGGAATTTGCTGTCAGCTGAGCTAGTCCAAGTGAATCCCCAGAAGTCTTTTAAGAGAAAACGTGACATATTTCTAAGGCCTACGGATAGTATCCTACTATGATTTACCAACTTCTTTTCCTCTTTTGTTAATAACATGCCCAGGTTCCTGCACAAAGTTACCAGTGGTCCAATGTTACCAGATACGGAAGCCCATTAAGCGAAAGCTTCTTCTATCCAGTCTATAACCATTTGAATCATTTGAATGTTAAGACAGATTCAGATTGATGTAGTAAGGAGAGAAGGCCTACGACCTACGTTATTCCTTTTCTAGGATGCTTCTGTGACTGTCTAGTCCTCAGTCGAATGCGCCAATTGAAGGTAAGGACACCACTACTTCGAATAACAGGTTCCAAGAATTGATGACTTGGTGTGAAAACCTATATGTCACGGGTATTTTGTTCGCTTTGGCTTTTCTACTCACCAATACATTTTGTTCGAAAAGCACACGTATTTATTATTAAACTCAAGGTTGATTCTTTCACGCTCTTGGGAAACCCTTCACGTTTGAGAACTCTTATTTATTACCCAGACACAGATTTCATTGAACAAACAGTTCTCTATTTCAGCCCGTCAAGTTCGATTTACTGACAGCGGGTGTTTTGACGTCGCGTGCGTTGTTGCTAAATGGACGTAGTTCGTAAATTAGCCAAAGCTCTAGCCTCTAACCAAGATAAAGTGAGGCGAAAGGCACAAAAGCAAGTAAGAGTACTCCTATCAAAGAAATCATTCAATGGAAAAGGTTAGATCCGTTCACTTATCGTTATATTGTTCAATAAAGTGCCAAATGATTCTAGACTTAAGTAATTTTTATAAACCTTGTTCTGACACTACAGAAATGTCATTAAAAACAATAGACAAACTTATGCGTGTCATCGAGTCGCTCATTTAATTTGTCGAAGTTGTTGCTTCACGACTAGGCCAGCTGGCCTGCGTCCACACCTGAACTAATGATAGGGAGTGAAGTAGTTGGACACGTCGAAGACTTCACTTATCTTGGACGTCTGATCAGCCCTAATGGGTTGGTGTCTGACAGAATCTAAGTACGGATTCGAAAAGCTCGTTTGGCCTTTACCAACCTACGTCATCTATGGCGAAGGCGAGATATCCGTCTATCAATTGAGGGACGAGTATACTGTGCGGCAGTTCGTTCCGTTCTACTTTACGATTGCGAAACGTGGCTGTTAAGAGTAGAAGACACTCGTAAGTTGCTAATATTTGACCACGAAAATATTGCTCATCTGCTGGGATCACCGTGTAAGTAATAAGGTTAGACAGAATATTGGAGAACGACGATGTTGTGAGTCTTCGACTGAAATGGCAGGGTCACGTATTATCATGCCAAACCACCTATTTTCACGGTATCCAGGGCTGACTAGTGTTGAAGACAGATGGAAAAATTCAAACCAAGACGTGACATCAGTGCTTGAAGTCACTAACTTCTGGTCTGAGCCATGTTGGTAGATGCAGACTGCCTGGTTGGGGTCCGCGTGACTACCGTAACCAATGGTTGGAGACTCTTGGTGACATGGCTCAGAATCGCTCACATTGGCGTAGGTATATACACACTTTGTCTTTCCTTAAACCGTGAGATTAAAATTACTTTATACTTTTCTCTATACAAACTAATTATTTCTCCCTGTATCATATCCTTATATGCAATCTGTCTTTTATATATTACTATCATTGAAGTGACTACTACTATGAATTTGGTGTTCATCTTGCTGTGCTAATGAGGTGTGGCAACTTGGACCGATGCATGGATGTGCCTGGTCCTATGTTGTAGATGACTAATTGGACTTTTGATAAGTTCAATGCTTAGCATTCTACCTTTCAGCCTCCATAAGTGACTTGATTCAGACAATCTAGATCCTGCAGAAAAAGGCAGTGCAATCATCAGTCAAATTACCAATATACGTATTGAAAACATCTTGTAGGAAAATTCGTGGTTCATCTGCACTTAACGTTTAGATAATTCAAGAAACTCGTTGGTATCCATACACCTTCTGGCCTTAAAATCGATATTCCATTACTTTTACTTACTTTACAGTTCTTGGCATTTTCTCACTGTTGTAATGTACCAGCATGTATAGATACGCACTCGTATCACACTGTGATTAAATTTCGATTTAATCAGTCATGTATACCTAACGGGTATAAAATTGGCGAATTGATTCCAAGTGGTATTCTGTGATTTATGATTTAAACTTTGCCCAGTTATCTAGAAATGTTATAGCAGTGGCTTGCAATGGAAAGTTTTTGATAGGGTTCATCGACGTGTTCGTGTTTGGAGACGAATAATCAATATGAATCTATGTTTTCCGTAGTTTAGTTTCATTGGTATACGGCAGTGTCCCAGAAACTTCATAGCTGGGTTTTTCAATTCTAATTCGACGGATAAACCTCCTATCTAAAAATAGTCAGAAATTTTCGTTGGTCACAAGATAATAAAACTGCAAGGACTTCATAATAATCTAACCAAGATCTGGGTTCAATTGAATTATAACGGGACGAGTATTAGGAAAGTTGAACTTTCGGAACTGTTCTAACTAAAGTTATTTATATTTTTGTTCTTCATTTAGTACTTAAATTATTTCATTCCTATATTCTTCCGTCTCTAAGCCTTCGTTTGATCCATAAATCGTTGTGATGCTTATGCTACTATGTGGTCAAGATATTGCACGCATATTATTTTGTGGTTTTAAGTCAAAATAGAATTGAGTGCAGTAGAAAACTGAACTGCCTTCTACCTTCGTCTTTTTGATTGGCCAGCCAGTCAGGAGTCAGTCAGCTGCAACGTAGGACCAGGCACATATATGCATCGGTCCAAGTTGCCATACCGCATTAGCACAGCGAGATGAACACCGGATTCATAGTAGTTAATGGTGAGCAGATTGAAGTAGTCGAGAAGTTCGTGTATCTAGGTAGCTGCATAAGTGCTGGTGGTGGTGTGAGTGATGAGATCAATGCTCGTATAGTGAAAGCCAGAGCGGCTTATGCCAATCTGGGCCACCTTTGGCGCCTTCGTGATGTTAGTCTGGCTGTAAAAGGTCGGATCTACAACGCGACGGTGAGAGCAGTTTTGCTCTATGCTTGTGAAACCTGGCCTCTCCGAGTTGAGGATGTTAGACGACTCTCTGTGTTCGATCATCGTTGTCTCCGAAGGATTGCTGGCATCCAGTGGCAACACCATGTCAGTAATGCAGAGGTTCGGCATCGAGTGTTCGGTCACAGAGACGATAATGAAATTGGTGTCACCATCTTGAAACACCGACTTCGCTGGCTTGGACATGTTCTACGAATGTCGTCCCAGAGAATTCCACGTCGTGCATTATTTGCCGACTCTGGGACTGGTTGGAAAAAGCGGAGAGGTGGTCAGTATATGACATGGTGTCGTGGTATGAAAGAAAGCTGCAAAGGGCTAGCTTCTGTTGGTCCTTCACGACTCCCTGGTTGGGGTCCGAGAGACGGTGTAACGCAGTGGCTAGAGACGTTATCAGATATGGCTAAGAATAGAAGCCAGTGGCGATCGTGCTGTAACCTCTTACTTTCTTCATAAAAAGTGGTTGTATCTTCCTTAATTGAAAGACCTCTTCTGATTGTACCTTTCCGTTTCCCCCACCATTGTTCTCTCTCTCTCCCTTTTTTTATAATTCCCCACGTTCATTACTTTTATTTTCTCTTTTCTCTTTCTCTTCAAATTATCATTGTTTTGTGTGGCGCATATATATTTGGTGCCCCTCTGTACCAATATTTATGTGTTCAAATAAATAAATAAATAAATAATAAGTTAATCCAGTGGTGGCAATATATAGAAGAAAGAGTGTGTATAAGGAGATAGTACAGGAAGATAGAATTAGTTCCTAGAAAGAAAGATTTGAAGTGATTTTAATCTCTTAGTTTAAAGGAAGACAGAGAGTGTATACACCGATGCCATTGTGATCGATTCTGAGCCATGTCACCAAGAGTCTCCAATTATTGGTTACGGTAGTCATGCGGACCCCAACCAGGCAGTCTGCATCTACCAACATGGCTCAGACCAGAAGTTAGTGACTTCAAGCACTGATGCCACGTTTTGGTTTGGCTGCCGGTAACTTTCTTCCAATTATACCTAACACCGGTTAGCGTTTCGCGTCGTGGTAATCGGTGTTCAGGCATACGCAACAGGTGGCCCGACCATCTCAGTCGATGAAGATTCACAACCTCACCAACTGATTTACCATCATTCCCTAATACCTTGCGTCTAACCTCACTATTACTTACCCGGTGATCCCAGCAATATTTCTAAGACATCTGTGGTCAAACACTAGCAACTTACGAGTATCTTTTACTATTAAAGGCCATGTTTCGCAGCCGTAAAGTAGAACGGAACGAACTGCCGCACAGTATACTCGTCCTTTAATTGATAGATGAACATCTCGCCTCCGCCATAGGTGACGTAAGTTGGTAAAAGTCAGACGAGCTTTTCGAATCCGTGCTGAGATTTCGTCAGACACCAACCCATTAGGGCTGATCAGACTTCCAAGATAAGTGAAGTTGTCAACGCGTTCGATTAATTCACTCCCTATCATTAGTTCAACAACTTGCATCTAGAGGGAGAGAAGCGCATCCCAAACATTCTGGCATTGTTGCTCAGTGCTACCAAAAGACTCTGCATTTCATCAGTGTCTTCACCAAACAGGACTATGTCATCTGCGTATTCTCAGTTGATAAGTGGGCCTCCTGGTAGGAGATCAATACCTGAGAATTCAGTCGATGAGAGCGTTATTTCCATCAGTAGATCTATGATGAAGTTAAACAAAAATGGAGAAAGTGAACAGCCTTGACGGACACCACTTGAGGTTGCAAAAGCAGACGACAGTTCGCCATAAGCTCTGACTCGACCAGTAGTGTTCGAGTAAAGAGCCTTCATAAGGTTTATGTACTTCTGAGTTACGCCTTTCAATGACAGACACTGCCACAGGACCTCTCGGTCTATAGAGTCAAATACTGCTTTTAAGTCAAGGAAGACCACCATTGTCAGACGACAATAAGTATGCCTGTGTTCTAGAACCTGACGAATGGTGAATATGTGGTCAATGCAGCCACGACCAGGTCTGAAGCCAACTTGATTCTCTCATGTTTGCAGTTCACGAGTCTTAGTTAGGCGTCCGAAAATTATCGAAGCTAGTATTTTAGATACTATATTAGTCAAACTAATCCCTCTGTGGTTGTCACAGGATGATTTTGACCCTTTCTTATATATTGGGACGACAAGTGATTGTGACTAGTTAGATAGGATAACGTCTAACTCCCAGATTTTAGCTAAAATATTAGTCAACCTAATCGCTAAAACTAGTTCACCATCCATAAAGACCTCTGGGGCCAATCCATCTGGACCTACTGCCCTTCTTCGTTTCAGATTAACTATAGCCTTTTGAACTTCAGGTAGAGTTGGGGGACCTACTTCAATGTTCCATTCACAATGTGTGGGAATGCAGGGTAGTTGTAGAGTAGCTGAAGGCCAGCTGAACTGTTCTCTAAAATGTTCCGCCCATCGTTCTAAACGTCTGGACTGGGAGCAGATGAGAGTGTCGTCTTATTCCGAAATAGTCTGACCTACACTTGACTTATTAATTCCCGTTTCTTTTATTAGTCTGTAGAGTTGTATTGTGTTCCCTATAGCCACCGCTTTTTCCATCTGTTTCGCTTTCGTTGCCCACCACTGCTCATGATCGTTTCTTTAGACTTTTGCTTAACCTAGGTCTCATTTGTTTAAGAGAACCTATCAGTGCAATAGACCTCGAAGAAATCCATTGGTTCTTTGTAACCCTGTGGTTTAAATCACTAGTAGATGTCACTGCTGTTTCCACGGCTGATTGTATATCTTTCCAAGCAACATCTGGGTCAGCCTCGTTTTCAGAACTACCTAAGTGTGACCTCAGTTGTCCCTGGAACCTACTTTTGGTTTTCTCATTACTCAATTCAGTTCTAATGAGTCTTTTTTGCGTCCAGTGAAGCGCAAGCAGATGCGTGCTCTTACTAGAGCATGGTCGGAGTCCAAGCAGGTACTCCAGAATGAACAACAATCTTCTATTGACCCTCTTCAACGATGACTGATGTTAATATGGTCTATTTGAGTCCATCGTTGGTTTGGTGCAGGGGGTCGCCATGTTAGACGATGTCTCTCCTTATGCTTAAAACTTGTGTTTGCTAAAAATAAACGGTTGTCTGAGCACAGTTGCAGCAGACGATCACCATTATCTGTTCTGTGCCGGAGTACTAAAACACCCACCTAAATGTCTTTCTGTTTTGTTTAAGCTATCTACCTGGGCATTAAAGTCACCTGCTACGAGTACTATGTCTGAACGTTTAGCTTTATGGAGAAGTTCAGACAGCTTTCTGTAAAATTCACCTTTCACTTCATCCGAACTGCAGTCAGTGGGAGCGTAAGCAGAAACGACGAAAAGGCAACGACGTGTGTCCTTATCCTTCAGAGTTCTTACCGAGCCGTTTAGCCGAACAGCGCATAGACGACTGTTTACGGGGATCCACTCTAATAACGGTTGTTCCGCCCTCATGCTTAGTGCTATGCCTACACCTGCCAGTCCACGAGAACTAGCCATCGGGTCGCCTGATACACGGAGGGTGTATCTCGTCGGCTCTCCGTTTTGCCGAGGTGAGGTTAAGTGACTGACCACAATAGGATCCTGTATGTGTGTTTCGGAGACAGTATACATCAATCGTACGAGATTCTAAGGTTTTAGCCAAGGAAGCCTGCTGAACGATTTGGCATAGTGTGCGTACATTGAAGGCTCCAATGTATAGTTTGGAGCGGGGTTTCAGTAGACCTGGGACAGTGTTTTGCGCACTAGAATCGTTTGCTGTGGTGACACTTGAGGAGGAAGCCGAAAGAGGGAGTTTAGATTTGAAAGTCGATGTAGGAGGAATAATAGGAATTGAAGAGGGAGGTTGATCATGAATACAGTGGTCTTGAGTGTTGTTAAAGGTATGAGGGCGGTTATCACTTCCCGGTTGCCCACACCGTGGAAGGGTTCTGCTGGAGGTACCTGGAAAGGAAACTTGATTAGAGGTGGTCTTAATGACCTGAGAGTGTGACTGCACTGCCCAACGGATGACTGCTTGAGGTCGGTCACACACGACCTTTTATGAGTAATTTTTGTGTTAGCTCCGTACTTGTTGAGACCTTACCGCCGGAGACGGATATCCGTGGGATAAGGCGAGATGTGCATTTCTAGGGTCGACCCTTTCTAATCCAACCCCTCCTTGTGGGAAGACAGCGTCGCTGATATGCTGGTTGTCTGAAGGAAACACCTTACTGCTGTCACACCTCTGCACAGTCAGAAGACCTTAAATTTGTTGCTTTGAGTCTTACCGCTCTTCAACCGACCTGTCTGGCATGGTAGGACCTTGAGGAACGGTTGTTCCAGCCAGTATAGCTCAGTTGCTTCATCATGATAGGCAAGCCTGACCACCACGTCAAGGTAGCAGCAACGATCGGGCTTGAGGGACCAATAAGGGTCGACATCTTAGTTATTGTTCATTGGTCGATGTGTCAATCGGTAAATAGTTCGCTAGTCCTACTGGCAATACAAACGAATTAATCGATAATCGGCTTAGAAACAGGCCGTTACAACTGCTTTACTGTCATTGCGAGCTGACCATACAAAACTCAATGTAATTCAAACCAAAAAGCTAACCTACTGTTTTCTTCCTACCTAAATTAACTGAATTTCGGGTAATCTATGTTGTGTAGTCGACGGTTCTGGTTGTTGTTGCTACCAAATGACTAATCCATACAACAATTTGCCATTGACTTTGATAGCTGCAATGCGATAGGTTTCCTTTGATATGTTTTTCAATTTCGTCCCTCAAATTGTGGTGACCAGAATCGAGATGTTATCATAAACTGTGATTTGGACGTAAGTTGGGCCATAGAATATGTAGTTAAGGAAAGGAATGGTTCCTTAAGGTTTTATTTTCAGGAAAATTAAGTATGGTAACCATTTAGAGCTTGACGACCTAGTATTTCTCAAATATTGTAATATCCTAAGTTTATCACACTGCCGAACTTATGTAATTAACCTTTTGTCACGATTGATTCTATGTTGTTAGATATATTGTTTTCATACTATTGGTTGTATATCTTGATTGTAAAGCTTTAAAAATGGACTTGTTCTTATGTATTACGGTTACTTAAATCTGCATTATTTTTTTATAACCATTGTTTTCGTTTAATCGACCATTACAGATGATTGGACTTACGAGCAGTTGTTAGGCATTTGCAAAGGTCTTCACTACAGTTTATGGATGCAGGACAAGTTGTTGCTGAAGGTACTTACATTTAATTTATATTTTTTACACAAAGGAACAAACGGTCGTCCGGTTATGTAACATATTACCCAATATTGAGGACAACACTGTCACTTTGTATTATTCTTATGCCATGTTTGAAACACTAGCAAGAGAATGGGATAACTTAGATTACTGGAGGGTAGACAAATTTATGCTGGTAAGTTGAAAGGCAGTTCATTAATTGTTGGCTAGCTCGGACGAGAATTTTTTACGAGAGGTCTTCAGTTCATTTCTTGTAAAAAACCTGAAATTTTACCTTCTTTTGTGGAGGCCATATTCACCAAGATATTGAACAATGACATAAATCATGCTGTTGGTCTAAAAATACATTTCTGTACTCTAATAGGTGAAGAACTTCCGAAAAAGGTATGTATCTTTAAGTGTTTAACTATAGGAGAATGGCAGAACGTGAAAATGTTATCTGTGCAGTTAGTCTTTCAGTATCTCCTGGTTTTACTAGCTTCCCTACCGAAGTGAGATCGTTTGAATGATTTTTATTGTTATTTAGACACAACATTTACGCTCACAGTGTCCTATCTCTGATTACTCGGATAACAAAGCTTATTCGAAGACGTCCCCAAGTATGCTTAGTTCCATTATTTTTACACATAATTTTAATTCAGTGTTGTTTGGATCGTATTATGAAATGTCTTGAGAATATTTTAAGCAAAGATTCCTCCTACAGAAACGCTTTAAAACGAGTCGACACAAAGTAATTTAACTGCCTGATTATCTAGTGGCTTTCTTTAGTCTAAAAAGAATTCTGGCAAATAGAGAAGCTACATCAGTAGCAACCGATGAACAGATTCCCACGTTATGCACAGAGTCGTCACCTGAGGTAAAAGAATGTTCCACTATGTTTACTCCCCATAGACGACAAATATCGTCCCCAATACTTGTGAGAATATAAATAGTGAAGGCGGTTCATCAGAGCTTAAAGTGAGTATTCCTGATAAATTTGACTTGTTTCAGATCGAAAAGAAGAAAATTCCGAAGGTTTTAAAGAGGAAAAAACGGGTGATTAAAAAACGTTTATATGCTGAGACCGCTAATGTAAATCACTACTTACTTTCCAACTACTTTTAGCCCGTAAATGTAGAGTTCAGCAATCAAGCTGATAATTTTGTCGAAGAATCATGTCCGAAGAGAATGAAGTCTGAAATACCCACAAAGGTAACTCTTTTGTGTAATTACGTCTAATTGTAGTCTGTTGACGAATGCACAGCAGTTCCATGTGTAGTTCCTGATTCTCCATGCCCTGTTTCAGCATGTGATGATGAATCCAAACCAAACATCGGTCAGTTTATATCTCCTAATGTTTCAATAAGTGGCAACTCTGCTTCTGAAGAAAAGTGTACTTCAAACACTCCGCTTTCTTCTGAAAGACGTGTATCCTTTGGTAAGGTATTTCGTAAGAGTAGGTTTACTGCACAGTTTTCGATAATGTAAATTTTAGAATTTAACTCAGCTCGTTGCATCTCCCTAACCCCACCGGTTAGTGTTATTCCAGCCAAGGGAATTTTAAGAAGTAACAGTAAGTAGTATATTTTCTTATCTTTTCTGCAGAATCTATAGCTGACGAAGCGAAAGCTAACGTTTCGTTCTAATTTAAGTTGTAATTTTGTACATATAAATGAAATAAACACAATGTTTATATATCAGTCTCTTTGGGAATCACATGTTAGGTAACAGAAAAAAACTTTTTACGCCAATCCTAGTGCTCTGCGAATAGAAATTATCTGATTAAATAAATTCTCACCGACAAAAATGAACCTACGCATTTAAAGCGGCTGCTAACTAAATATTATTCTTTATCGATACATAAATTAATTGGTATGTATCGTTGTTTCAAGACCGATTTTTAAATTCTTTAGAGCAACAACGAAAAACTTCAGATCTCGGAAACATGCTATTTTCCTCTTTGATAAAATGGTGATTTTGTCTAGCATTTATATGTTCTGTAACACGGACACCATAAAGAAGTTGTATGTTGTCCGGTACCTAAAATGAAGACATCAGTTCTGTGGATCTACACAGTTCGTAACCGAAATACTTGTGTTCTAGCAGACTGGTTGGTAAGGGTCGAGAATAGAAGGAAGCATCAACAGGTTACAGGCTGAAGGATTCTCATTTTCGCGTTGAGGCCAATACTTTTTAGGGCACCCTCAAATGCCTAGAGTGCTCTCACATAGCCACTGCCAGGAAAGTCCTCGTGGCGAGGCTGTTGTTCACGACATTGAGCGGACAAAAATTGAATGTTCGGCGCTTAAACCGGGTTGGTGGACACGGAGGGTCCATCTGAGGGAGTTGGAGAACCCTGACCCCAAACCAATGGTGCATATGGGCTCCAGGATCCTAAGGGGACGAATGGCGTATGAATTAATTATTGGTCACTGGCTACCGTGGGACTACATCTCCTGACGTTTCTCCACTGCCTTGTGGATTAGACCTTTAGGTTGATGTGGTCCCCTAAGAAAACCACATGCTTCAGTCTTGGCACTCGGGCAGTATCGCACCCACACACAAATCAAGTGACTTGTGTGGCGCATGTGTATTCGGCGCCTCTTTGTGCTATTATTTGTGTGTTCAAATAAATACCTCCTACGGCTGATTCGGTATGGCGAGCGAACATCCGGCTAACGGGCTGGTGTTACACATCCGTAGTTTTTTAACGACAGGCTCTTTTAATCTAAGTCAAAGTAAAACCATCAGTAACTTGAGCTACACAAGCAATCTACTCAGATCATGCTACTGAACGGCATTTAGGAAAAGGGTGTATTCTCTACATGTGAAGATGGTACGTGGAGTAAATAGTCGATTTTATTACTCTACGAGGCATCCAAAAAATCAACTGTATTTAAGGGGGCGTATGGTCAGTTGAAGTACAACAATGGAATTAAAAGAGTAACGAACTTTCAAAATAGATTTTATACACGATAGGCTATTTAGTGTGCAAGCCAAAAATATTGATGTGACAGCACAAAAAGTTTTTATACTGTAGTTGCAGAAGTAAGACTATACAACTTAAGTACTGACCAATTAACATCAGAAAAGCTTAATCACAGTGCAAAAATAGATAAGTTTATGTCTTTTAGTATTCAAGATTCAAAAACAAATCCACGGCCTGTGAGATCTTTTTTTGCTTCACTGACTAGTTTCATAAGCTCCGTGGACGCCTCTGGACAATCATTAAAACTGTATGTACGATAAAGTATAATCAAAACGGAAACTGTTCCAAAAATAAATAATAGGTGAAAAGGCAACCAGTTGAGTATCATGTTGCCGCAGTCAGACTGTACAGTGATAATCCCCACTAATTTAGACACCCAAATTGCGGAAATCAAAGATAAAACAAGAAGCCATTCTACGATTTTCTTCATGGTGAACCTGGACAATAAAATCAACTCCTTAGTCACGATAGGGACGAGGTCTTCGGGAATTTTTTCAGTTGATTGAAGAGTGGACAACTTTCGTAGTAACTGAAAAATAGGAAGAATCACAGATCAATGAAAAGCTTTGTATTTAAAAGTCAGTTTAACAATTGCTTTTCCTAGAAATCTAACTGATCGCGCTGGATTGGAAGCCGAAGGAACTTCAGAACAAATACAAGGTAAAACCCGGCATAATGGACACTCAGTAACTTACATTAAATAAATTCAAACATAATGGGAAAAAGCAACTCGACTGTAACTCTTAACATAAAAACAAAGGTGACGAGGCTAGCAGTGCACATTCACGAACAAATAAGAGGACTGGGTCTTAAAGGCCGATAACTGGTGGAACTGTACTTGGGGATGAGGTGGTTTGCTGAGAATAAGAGACTGGAACGATGGGGCAGAACCTATTGCGGCCTTGAGTCTTATTACTGTATGTTGCCCCTGTGCAAAAGAAAAATGGGGCAATTTTATCCTCATTTTTATTTATATACTATTTAGTGATTGCAGTGACTCACAAGTCTAACGTACTTGCTGGTATTGATCAGTAGCAACACACTACCTTAACCATTTAAACTAACTTGAATGCCAAAAACCTCACAACTGTAAATCGAAATGCTAACAATTTCTACAGGTGACGACAGTTTATTGACGAGGATTTAGAATCAGTCAATCAAAAGAAACGTAGGACCTAACACATGTATATCAATGTGCGCCGCTATCCCCAAAGGTGAGATGAATTTGTAAGAGCGAATCCCAGAATAGTTGAGGCAGTGAAAACATTAGTGGTAATAGGAAAGATTAAGGATCCATGATACAATTTAATAAAATATAAATTAGCAAGGAAAATTCCATCAACTTAAAGGGGGGATAGACTTGGTGCACATGTGTTATTGTAAACGATTCTGAGCCATGGCAGCACTAGGCATTTGTTACGATGACCATGCAAACTATCAGCTGGTAGTCCGCACCTACCTACCTAAAATGCGAACTACAGACATACTTTTCTATAGGTATCACTTAATTTATTGTCTATGTTTAACTGCGCTTCATTAAACCTGAAATCTGTTGAGTCAATATAAAATAGTCTTTCGATGACTCATGGGCCTAATAATTTCCACATCTTGCTGAGTTATTGAACACATTTTCGTTCTTGGTAGTATCTGGCAAGCCGTTATATGCACGCATTCAAAGCGTTCGGTTCTTAAGAATTGATGTTCATCTGTTGCATTCAGTTTGAAAAGGACAGGAGGCTTGATGGCCTGTGTTAGTCCTGGCAGTTGTGTTCTTTCAGTTGATCCAACTTTCTTTTGAAAGAATCTACGGATGGAGCTCCAGCCACGTGTTGAGGTAATGAATTCCACTCGTTGATGATTCGGTGGGAAAGTCGATAATCAGCTGGCAAGTAATTCGTTCTGGGCTCGTGAACTTTTTTGGAGTGTCCTCGTAAATTCTCTGTTTTGGAAGACAGGAAAAATGAGGGCATATCAGGTGCAAATTTATCACTAAGCAATTTGAAAACTGTAATCAAGTCGCCTCTAGTACTACGATATGACAAAGGGAATAGGTTTAGCTTGACCAGTCGAGCATTATACGGAAGCTTCGCTATTACGGAAATCAGCTTAGTTGCTGTTGTCTGGACCTTTTCCAAAAGCTCACTGTCTTTTTTTAAGCAAGGGCTAGCCGCTTGTATGCAGTACTCAAGTTTAGGACGTACGAACACTGTATAAAATTCAAAAACGTTTGAGCGTCGACATGAGTAAAAGCCCTACGTATTGACCATAAAGTTCTAAAAGCTTTGGCGGCTATTGCACGTTAGTGTGCAGTAGTCCTCAGATCTCGGCTAACGATGACTCCTAAGTCATTATGTGTCTGGACAACAGGTAGCACAGTGTTATTCATCGTGCATGTATCTGAACCTTGATGATCGATATGTATCACAACACACTTGAAAGTAATTATCGGCAGCTGCCATGTATGAGATCATTCGGATAATTTATTCAGGTCATTTTGGAGTTCTAAGCTATCGTTCTCCAGTGTTAGGCTAGCTTTTCCGAAAGGATATTTAATTATATGGACTAGGTGTTGTGGGCGCATTTATAAATCTAGCGTAAAACGGAAGCACTCTGCGAGTAGTTTTCAGAAGTTATATGATGAAATAAAACGAAATCATTTAAATTTACAGCTCACTGATGATCAAATAGACAAATATTGGGGAAAGACAAGTTATAAAACACGTGCCAAACAGTAAGAATAGTAAATTATGCAAGAATCCATAGGTAACAGACGTTTTAAGAATTCCAGGATAGTTACAGTAAGTGAGACATGTTTCGACGACTTACAACCAGTAGATCTAAGTCGTGGCGCTCATTTGAAAATACCCGCACTGTGGAGTAGCAGCGATTAAAATACTTGAGTAGAACATTAAAGTTTCCGTCCACCAAGCTTCCTCGTTTTATAGCGATCAATTCCAAATATCTTGAGACAGAGACCAAGGCATGTGAAATATATAAGTACCTACTTTTAATTTATTACGACTCATTGTTCCGAATCATTTAAAGTAAATAATACCGCCTGTTGAAAGACTTAGGTGTTGATTCGAGCACATCACTCGCTAACGAACTCCAATTTATCGTTTGCAACGAAAAGGTATGTCTTTAGAACTGTAAGTGCTCAATGATATTAGTAAAAGTGCCACAGCGCCTTTACACTTAACACTTTTATAATCAAAGGACGCCAACTCAGTCAAATTAGAAGTCAGAAATTAATAGGTCTGATGATATACTTAAAAAGTTATCGATATGTCGAGAAGTGTTTTATCTAAGCTGGCTAGTATTTGCAAGAGGTGCGTAGCACACATGAATTTAATACGGTCCTACCAAATCAATATGAATATAGTTGAAACGAGCGTCTAGAATTGCGGGATAGCACAAGGAAATTTGTTGTGGATCTCTGGCATCCTAAATAAAAACGTGTCTACTCCCTCACGTCTTTATTCACAGCAGACCAGCAAAATCGTTTTACTATGAGCTGGACGGTTGCTCGAGCATCTGGTTGAGAATGTTTATGCAATGTATTGAAGACATTGTGGTAGTTGGTGTTCATTTTAATCCCTTAACTTCATTTATTGTTTGTCCTAATAACCGCACTAGATAACGTCTAAACAATGTGTTAATCAGAGAGCGAGTACGAAGTATTGATTAAGTTTACTATTGAACCACG